ATCCTGGCTCTCATCTGGGGCATCTCCATGCAAGGTGCTGGTCCCTGAAGGCACCCTGAGGGGCAGCAATGCACCCAGCTGCTGCAGAAGCTGATGCCAATGGCCTTGGGAGCCCTGCATGGTCAGATTGGTGGCCTGGTGGGAGAACAAGCCCCCAGCACCTCTGGGCAAGTATCAGAGGGAGGTGCTGAAGCCCAGGACTTCACCTCTCACCCTGGGCAGGCATGCAGGGTGGTGCAGGGTTGCAAGCAAACAGGGCCCCTGGCCATGCTCAGCCCCTGCCTACAGCCTTCCCTGTTCACCCTGCCACCCCTAGCTGGCTGAGAGAGAGGTGGAGGAGTGAAGCCCCAGACCATCGGGGAAAGGCGAGGCCAGGGTGCTGGAGCTCCCCAGGGACAGTGGGTGGCTCGTGGCTACAGCCCTGTGCTGGGCCTTGGGGCTGGGGTCCAGGTCTCGGCTCTCACCCCTCCATCCTGTAATGCTGGGACAGGAATCCTCTCTCTGCCTGCGCTGCTTTCCAGAGCAAGGACAGGTCCATACTAGGCTGAACAATGAATGTTCACGCCCGGTGCTTCCGAATCACGTGGTGCCCAATGCCATGGAAATCTGGGCACTTCGGTAGGTGTCTTAGATGGACTTTAAACACACAGATCAGCCAGGCCCCGGGGCCAGGGAAATGGCTGAGGCGGGAGCACACACCAGGGAGGACAATGGCACGTAGGAGAAACCCTCCCCTCTGTGAGTTGTGCAGGTTCCCATTGAACTGCAAACAAAGGATGGCTTTGTGAGGGAGACAAGCCGTCTTGGCTCTCCCTGTGCACAAGACACTTTACCACCTCCAAACTCAGGCAGCTCTAAAGTGCAGTAAATGCCCATCAATGCTGTATTTGCTGCAGATTTGCCAGTGACAGGAGAGAGCCGGGACAAAGGCACGATTTCTGCCCACCCAGCCCTGTGCAGGGAGAGGAGATGGATATACTCTCAGGCGAGCACTGAGGGCTGCTCAGTCTGGGGACAAGCAACTGAGATGCCTCCACAACAGGAGCATGCCAAAAACCCAGTGCAGGGAAGCCACTGCTGGTCCACGCGCAGTTGCTCACGCTCTCCAGACTGCAGCGGCTGAGGCCGTAAAACACTGCACCGCCATGCTGAAACACGGGCAACACCACGGTGCCTGCCGACTGCCCAATCTCCATTAGCAACCAGCACACGCCAGCTGCTGCGGCAGACCTGCCAAATTGCGGCCTCTCCCAGGCTCCGGGCGGGCTGCACTTGTGGCTGCCCAGGCTGGAGGCTAGGGAGTTGGCAGCCCTGCACAGCACCTGTGGGCACAGGAAGGAAATGGGAAAAGCAGCTCCTGGCCCCACATGGCTCCTCCTGTAGCTTGGGCAGCAATTTCAGGGAAAACACACAAAAAGGGAGGATGGTGTGGTCCGCAGTTCTTCCTGCTGGGGTGCTGGGAGCCTTTCCAGTCCCACCGCTGCTGGGGTGGAGCGGCAGCGATGGTGAGAACACGCCCAACCGAAGGCACTTGGCAAATGATTTTGAGTGAGCCCAGCTCCTCGGGGAAGCAGGCAGGATTCAACCCAGCTCCACCCCGTGTAGCAAGCCAGGGCCCAAACGGAGAGCAGAACCCAGGGTCCCTGGGGCTTGGCTTTTAAACAGGTGCCTAAGTCCCCCTGTTGGCATCTGAATGCACGGCCAGGTTATCCAGGGGACTAAGCAGTTCCTGCTATAGCCTCATCGACCTCTGTGCTTCATCCCCATCGCTCAGACATACATCCTACCCCGCAGCGTCCCTTTGTCCGAATGTGCTTCACTGATCAGACCCCAGCAATGAAAGCAAAGACCCTGCAGGTGACCCTGAAAAGGACTGGCTTTCCCTGTGCTCGCCCTGGCAGAGACAGGAGCCAACATTTTATCTGCAAGCGGGAAGTGAAACATGCCGAGATGCAGATTTTGTTGTCCCCCATCCAGCTGGGCATTTTAGGGTCTTTCCATTGCAGCGGCTGGGCCTGGCTAGACACAGCTGCTTCTGCTTCCCAGGGTGCTGGCTGCACCCAGGTTGGATGGAGACAACCTCCGCAGCCTCCTAGCAGAAGCCAGGCTCCAGGGCTTTGTATGTGGCTGTGTCAGTGAGAGGGGGACCGTGGTGCAGCCTGGGGCTGAGAAGGCTTTTGAAAGTGCTATCAGCCCTTGAGTAAGCCCAGCTCCTCTCCCTGGGCCACTGGCTACAGCAAACCCACAGCTCAACAGTTTCTTCCAAAGCCGTGCAGGGAGCAGGGGGGCCTGGGGAGGAGGAGGGAGCTTTCCTGGAATCCTCATTAAACTTTCAAAGGCTCAAGAGCCCCGTGGCCTCCTGCCTTGCCCTGCCCCCACTGCAGGCTGTTAGCGTGGCATCCCTTCACTGCAGACGCATGGAGGGAAACTGCAACTAGCCTGGGCCCAGGAGGGTGACAAATAAACCGCCAGGTCTGAACATTAACATGGTCATCCATATGCAATGGCTGGTCCAAGGGCAAAGACAGGACGGTCACCCTGAGCCCAGCACATGCGCTGTGCCCGTGCCTCATCCGGCCCGTGGCTGGGTCTGAGAATGCCCAGTGGACAGGCTCTAAGAAGTGTGAACAGCAGCTTCCCATACAGCCCCATTCACGACACTGCTGGGCCTTGCTGTGTGATGGCAAAGGTGGCCTCCAGCTGCAGGGCCAGCTTCCTGCATGCAGCAAGCAGCCCGGGAATAGTGTCTCACTCTGCCGTGCTCCAGAGCTCCTGCCCTGGGACAGATGGGGGCCAAACCAGTCTGTGTGCCAGTGCCAAGAACCCACTCACATCTGGGATCCTTGAAGGAGACAAAGGGTAGGGGGCACTGGAGCTCAGTGTGAGGATCCCCACCATAGGCAACGCATAGGGAGGGCACGGGGGGGGGCACATGCCCCCCCTGAGATTGCCCATGGGCGGTCGCCGCTCACCCCCAATTGCCACTGACACAGCCGGCAGTGTCTGTGGGCGGTCCCCACTCGCCACTGGCCACCTTCCCCTGCTGCTGACACCACTGCCAGCGGCTGCGGGCAGTCCCCGCTCACCACCAAGGTGCCCCCCCAGTCTCAGGAGGCACCAGTCGTTCATGATCCCCACACTTGGGACTGGCACACAGCTTGCTTGCAAGGAGACCAGCCTGAAAGCTCCAGCACAGCTGAGCACCGCCTCTCCAGCACAACACTGTTGCCACCAGCCCCACTGCCCATCGCACCCCGTACCCCACCTCCAGCCATCAGCCACAAACAAGCCAATCACTAATCCACAATCCATACCGCAGAGACATGTCAGCGCTGGGGCCTGCGCTGGACAATCAGAGCCCGTTTTGTCTGGCGTCCAGCAGATGCCAATCCCACAGTACCCTGGGGTTTGGGTGGGAGGCAGAGGAGGGGGGAGAGTAAGCCTTAACTAGAAAAAACACCCCACAAAACAGACATTCTTGTGTAATTAAAACCAAAATGCACGACGTCAGAAATCCTGTGCAGTGGTGACTGGTCTGTTTATTCTCTGCCTCACCGGGAGGAAGACCGATGCTTTGAAATGCTATAACATTACTGGATGTTTGGGGGCTGGCTGTCTGCAGGGCCCAGGCTGGCATGGTTTTGTGTGGGCCATTCATACATGTCCATTACAACTCAGCATCCCCTTGGGATCCAGAAAATGACTGGGATGGAGGTGAAACAACCACCTCCTGGCCTTGCCAGGGAGAAGCAGGCTCCCAGGGACCTTGTTCCCTGCTCCTGGCAGGCCCTTGGAAGGGGTTGTGGCAAATGCAGCACAGCCTAAGAGTCAAGTCAGCTCTGTGCACTGGTGATTAAAACCAAGTGGCAAGCTCTGGGTAGGAGGATGTGGTCTCCAGCCCCAGGCCAACGCCATTCAGGGGCTGAGAAACCACTGCTGCAGGAACTGGCCGAGTCAGCGCTCATTCTTGGAGATTACAGAGCAGCCATTCGGAGCCAGTGGATAACAGGCATGGCCAAAGCGCTGGATGGAGTGGGGGGCTGCTGCAGAAATCAGGAAGGTGACGGGGCTATCCAGCGCCAAAACAATCCAGCCATGGGACACGCGAGTCAATTCATCCACTCATCTTGGGATATCTCTGACTTGTGCCACCTTCTGCACCACCACGTGTACCCTCAGGCCAGGCTACAGACCCACATGTCCACTCACTTAGAGCCCGGACCAAGCCTCTAACCCAGCCCTCAGGCAGGGAAAGGCTACCACACTCGCCCAGAGCCTCCAACCCAACCAGCCCCTGGAGGCAGGGAAGGTGCCTCTCTTTTGCAGGGGAGAGGAGCCACATGCTGGTCTCTGCCTGCAGCTCATCCAGCTGGAGGCATCCATCTCCAGAAAACAGGGAGTCTTTCCCTTACCAGTCTGGAGACGCCCCGGAGGGCCTTGCCTGGTAGGAGTTTGGCTGAAATTTCTTATTGGGCTCATTCTTTTCATCCAGAACGAATGAAATGGTCCCTGCTCTTGGATTCCCCCCACCCAAACACTTTGAAAGCTGGTTTCAATTCTTCAAGCCCTTTGCCCCGTTCTGCAGAGAATACCAACCTGTCTGGCCAGCTCCGGCCAAGACGCTTCTGCAGGTGAACATGCATTTGCATCACACAAGAGCATGTGCGCACTCTCACGCTCTTACACCCCGCCGGTTCACTGTGATAGCCAACAGGCTTGCCTATCTTGTTCCCACTGGAGGACTTCAAAACAGGCTGTGCTTGTTTTGTCAGAAAGTAAGGACACCCGGTATCTTATCACCACTCACTCCAGAGAGAACTGCAGAGAAAGGAGGGTGGCGGGGGGGACACAGACCTGCCTCCTTTCATAGGCATCCTCCCTTAAAAGGGCTTTGTCTGCCAGGCTTCTCTTCCCTAGCCCCAGGCACACGTGACGCTCATAAAGGCCCAAGAGGCCCCAGGCATGAGAAGAGTGGAGGAGAATCGTGCCGTTCCTCTTACCTTGGTCTGGCAGAGTCGGTGCTGGCCGTGCGGTGGACAGTGTGGCTGTGACCAGCACAGCCCAAAAGATGAGGGACCTCCAGGTAAACATCCCAGTTTTCCTGCTATTGGTTGGCAACTGGGCTCCACAACTCCATGGGGACTCCGCTGGGGATGGCCCGCTCGCAAGCTGGGGCTCACTCGCTCTTCTCTTCCAAACTCCCAGGGCCTCCAAGCTGTGAGAGAAACAACCAGAGGTAAAACACAGCCAGCCCAGGCACGAGCACTAAGGCAAGCAGAGCAAGCTTGTTTGCTCACCTACTGCTCGCACCTTTAGGAATAAGTTGCTGCAATTTCTAGCCTACGTCCCGTGATGCTATTATGGGTTTTGTACCAGGTATGGAGATTAAGACACGGTTGTTTTCATCTGGAAGCAAATGTATTAAACCCTAACAGTTACAATTCAAAATCAAAAAGCCAAAATGACCACAGCAGTTACAATTCTATTACTGTAGTTAGTCAAAAGCCATACAACGTGCTCGCCACCCCAAGATTTAATGAATGCGCCATCACTGGATGACCAGTCCACGAGGTCTTGTCCGGGGTTCCTGACCTTACAGACTGGTCATCCGTTTTGCTCTGACAGTTGTTCTTTTGCCCAGGCTATATTTATTCAATTTAGTTAGCCAACTTCCCAATTGGTTTTAAGTCAGGGACTGTGTTTTTCCATCTGCTCCTTTCACCGGATGCAAGTCGCAACCACAATTCAAGCTAAGCATGCAGCTTAAGCTAAACACAAAGGTCAAAACCCAGGTCTGAAGGCCTCTGGGTCCCAACAAGCCCCCTCCCCCTGATTTAAAATACGAGTATTTGCGGCTGTTTTTGTGAGTGGGTGACGCACGCCATATGCTGTACAAGAAAACATCTCCAGTGCTTAGTAATAAAGTGACTGTGTGACCTTCACAGCGAATCCATAAACGGTGACATTTCAGGCTGTGCTCACTCAAGTTCTAGGCAACCAAGTTGGCAAGTGTTGGCCATAAAGCCAGGCATCAAAGGCAAGGTTCGGCACCTTAAAGCAGCCCCTGGAGTCACAGGTGTGTCTCTCCTGGACTGCCCTGAAGCTGGCAGGTGCTCAGCACAAGTTGTATAGGAATTTGGGGACAAAAATAGCCAATTCAGTGAAACTGCCACAGTTTGCAGGAAAGGGTCTGGTTGAACAAATTACCTGGCTCCATCAATGTCAAACACACATTTTAGAATTTGGGAAAAAAAAAAATCGAGGCGCGAGGTTTCAAGTGACTGTCCCAACTCTTCACTCAGACACGCAACTTCATTTATCATAGTACTTAGGGTCGGAAAGGACCTAAACAGATCACCAGGTCCGACCCCCTGCCCCAGGCAGGAACGGGTGCCGGGATCATATCACCCCAGCCAAATATCTGTCCAGTCTCCTCTTGAAGACACCCAAGGTAGGAGAGAGCACCACCTCCCTTGGGAGCCCATTCCAGCCCGTTATACTCAGCAATGGTTAAAAGCAAAATGATTCAGAGGGATCAAACCGAAGCATTTCGCTGGCCCCCAACCAGTACTGCTTTAGGATTAGGTGCGTCACAAAGATATCTGAGATTTGGGCTTTTTGTTAGGATGAGGAAACGTTGTGAAATCCTGAAAACGTTCGTGGGATTGGGAAGCCGTTTCCTGCCCAGCCTAAGTCGCCACGTGATCAGTCCTTCCCTGGTGCTTAAACATGGCATCCATGTTTGAAAATACTGTTTTCTGCCTCCTTGTTCTCACAAGACCCTTTGCTCCTATCCCACCTCTCCCAAAGCACTTTCTGCTCCTCAGAAAACATGCGCACAACTATATTCACCCACGAATAGCAAGGAACACAAGCGACACCAGCATCACACCAACAATGCTACCCCACAGAAATGCAAGGAGAGGCCCTGTATCCCAACAGGACAGTAAAGGCCAGGTGCTGCTCCACCGCGAAGGCGCCTAAGTGAACACCGTCATCTTTGCGTTACCCAAATCGCACACATGCACCAAGGAGGCAGCACCTCTACCCACCTTGGGGGTTAACTGGAGAAGGATCTGCTCCTAAATGTCCTTGAACAGTCTTATAACAGCAAGGTAAATACACGTGCAAACACAGACATTATCTGCACTCCTCTGAAGTCTGTTTGCCTTCACCAAATCCCATCTACCCTTCCGTAGGCACAGTCCTCACCTCTGCTTCTGCAAGGGGGGACGAAATGCTGTTGCACGCACAGCAAGGCCTCCTCAGTCTGGAGGGCGTGCAGTACTTCCAACTCAACCCTTCGGGACCCCTCCAACCCATCCGGGATAGAGGTGCTTTGTCCCTCTCCAGCACATTTATCACTCTGAAGCAACATGAAAAAGCTGCAGCCTCAGGACTTGGCTTCTGTGCTTTAGTTTCCAGCTTGCTGGGGCTGGAAAGCCCAGACTCCTGGCATCAATGGGTTAAGTTGCATACATTAGCATTTTTGCTCCTAACCCAAGGTTAACATGTGCAGGAGATCTCTTTCAACCAACAGCTGTTTTCTGAGTGGCTGTGCAAGGAGAATTCCCTCAGCCCCCACAGCCCATATTGCAAGGGAAACTATTTTCTCCTGTCCGGGCCAGCTCTGGCATTCTGCTCTGCTCCCCTTGTAGCCTCTCCACCCTTCTCCGCCCCCCAGCGCAGGGCCATCCAGCAGGCACCCCCATGCAGGAAGGAGTAGCGGTGCCAGTCCAGTGCACCCCGGCACTCTGCTCACCAATGCCAATCCCTGGAGCTGAGCAGTGTCCAAAGGAAGGTGCCTGGTTCCCAAGCTGGGCAGTTAGCAAAGAAGCCCAGAGAAGCCACCCCATTCGTAAAGCAATACTGGTCTAAGTGGAGATGGCTCGGGCAGACCAGGGACAGGGACTTCAGGTCATGGTGCATCGGAGACTCTTCGACTGCACGTGGAACAAAGTCCTAACTCAGGTGCCTGCAGCCCCTCGGGCCCGTGCTGCCGCAACCGGCACGCACGTATACAGATGGGGAGGTCTGGAGACAGAAGGGTTAAAAGACTCGCCTGGTTGTTGGGCTTTTTTCCTCTTAAGCAGATTTGATTCCAAAAGTGAAGCACGCAAACCAACCAAATTGAAAACAAACAGACTGGGCCAAGAACAGAGACGCCATCGGAAGTGGAGATTTACTTCCCGCGTGCAGCTGGGAGCCGAAAGCGTCCCAGCTGCACGCGGGCAGCTGCAAACCTGTGTGGCTCAGCGCTGCACTCCAAGGACAGAGTCAGTCCCACCGTGAGCGCGGCCGCCGCGGAGGCCTGGCCCGCGAGCCTGCGCTGCTCCAGCCTCCCTGCTCCTCTGCGAGCCAGGCTATGCTGGGAATAACTGGGTCCATTTGTTCTCAGCAGATGCTAAGAGGGATACAGATCCTGCTAACCTGCCTCTGGTCCTGTCACCCTCTCAAGGGCTTTCTAGGCAAGTGAGGGCAGCCAAAGGCAGGCGGGCCAGGGGCTCCTCCGCAGCTTTCCGGACTTGCTGGGCCTGGAGACCCCTTCCTGTTTCATGTTCCTAGCAGCACTCGCCCAAATGCATGGGGACTCTTAGTCACAGCACCCTTGGGGCCAGCCCCTCCAGGCAGCACATCACAGGTGCCCTGCTTTTAGTGCCAGTCCTTCCTGCAGGCAGGTCAGAGCCCTGGCCTGCTCCTCGGAGCCATATGGACTCGCTTAGCACTCCCAACACCTGTTTAAAGGAGAGAGTCTGGAGCCAACGCATGACCCCAACCGCTTGAGCTGTGGGCTTCAGAGGAAACCGCTCGGTCCTTCTTCTGAGATGCAATGTGGACTCTGCCATAGCAACAAATTAACGTCCCAACCTCTCCCGGTCCTGAATGACTCCAGATGGCTTTGCACAGCAACCAGCCTGTTAGATTTCTTCCCAGCTCATTGCACGTTGCCTCCCTGAATGCCCCTTACATCTTAGTGAGATGGGGTGGGGGGGATCCTTCACTTCCCGGCTTGCTTTACTGGGTTGGGTTACAGAGCTGCCGCAGTCCATCCTCAGAGGCGGTTGCCACCGAGTCACAGGCAATGGTATTTAAGATCCACGGCAGACGGGAACGTGGGACTCCACGAACATCCTGTGAATGGAAGGTGCTGTAGACGCACAACTGACCATTAAGCATTGCTATTATTATGTGAGCAACAGCAGTGCTTTTCTGAAGAGCCTGAGGGGAATGGAGAATTCAGATGGCACTCAGCTTTTGTGCCATCCAAACCCTGAGGATCTCTCTCAAAGGCAGCCTTGCTCTCCTGGGCAGTTGGCGTGCAGGACACAGCCCACTGGCACAGACCAAGAGCACATACTGGCACTTGATGGGCTGATGCCAGGTTTATCTCTGCTCAGCAGCGTGCTCGGACACCGGGCTGCACAGAGGTGGCTGAATGCTGGGTTGGGTGGGGGCAGAATACTTGGAGGAAAAGTCTCTGGTATTTCTGGAAATTGTTTTCCGTCTCCAAGTGGTTTTGTTTATTGAGCACACGCGGTCCCCAGAGCATGGCCCTGTGAGGAATGTCTGCCGAGGCCTCTGCTTTGCCAGGGTCCTCCCAGGGTGAGGGGAGCACAGCGAGGAGCAGCAGTTCCTGCACCATGAGTCAGTGCTGGCACAAAGCCCCGCACGATCCTCCTTGTACACCTCAGAGATGGCTCATTCCAGCTGAATCAAGGGGGACAGCATCCTGCCAAGCTAAATGGCAGCATATTTCCAGGGAGACTCACCCAAGCCAGTCACCAGCGATGATCTGTCCCCTTGACTGATGCCAGAGAAAGTCACCGAGAAAAAACGAGACGCACTAAGCAGAGAATTGGAAGGGAAAGGGAATGGCCTGGCTGATGCTCAGTTTCCACTGGGCAGAAAAGCCCAGAGGGAAGCAGGGGCAGAGAGATGAGGTGGTACAAAGAAAGGCACCCTGTCCGCAGGAGGCCAGTCAGGCCCCCACACAGGACCTGCAGGGACAAATCAAGATCCACAAAGACAGCGGCTATGTAGCCAGGCCCCTGCAGTTTACATTCAAGGGAAGCAGAGGAAGGGAGGCAAGCCTGGGACTCGCAAGTCCTTTGCTTGCTGAAAGCCAGATCTCAGCCCATGTAAAGGGTCTGCCCCCTTCCCATCACCCATAAGAAGAGACCTGGACGGGAAGAGGTCTCTGTTGCACGGATGCATCCCACCACCTCCACCCAGAGCCGACCCTAGGGGTGTGCGGGGCCCGGGGCATATCATCCTGTGCGGGGGGGAGGAGGGAGGGGTGGTGAGCGGCCGGTGGTGGCGCCCTTGATGCGTGCCAATGCTGCTGTCCATGGGGACTGTACAGCACTGTCCGCGGGGCCCCCCAAAGTGCAGGGCCTGGGGCAGTCACCCTGATTGTCCTCCCAAGGGAAGCTCTGCCTCCACCCACCGCACGTCCCAGATCCTATGGCTTTCCCTTGCCTCTGGGGCTTGGGAACACAAGGTGTGAGGAAGCCAGGAGAGCGAGCGCTAGTACCTGCACAAACAAAGATGTGGCTCTTCCCACTGTTTATACAGCTTTTATATGAATCTGAACAGGAAATCATTCACTCCAAAGGGCGCATGAACAAGGCTGCCCTTCACCTCCTTCAGTGCTGGGAGCCGTCAGCCTCATGTAACGCTCCTGGCCTCGCTCACCCCAGAGCTTACTTTCTAGGGCAAGATTTTAAACAACTAGAAATGGCAATGCTAGGAGAGAAATCTTCATAAGTACCCCCGAGAAACCCGGCCACAATGATAACTGGCCCAGTTACACCCAGATACTTATTTAAAAACTGACCGGATCACGCATGCGCGTCTCCATGTGCCCTCCCACATCCGCAGACACAATCGCATACTCCCTGCACCCGCGTGGGGCCACTGTGACAGAACCACCTGCTGGACAGGCTTGCACACCCACCAGGGTGCACACACTGTGCACACTCACAGTCACACGCCCACTGAGGATCCCACGCTGATCTCGGGCACCTTTTCCCTTCTTCAAGCAGCCCTCTCTAGGCACGCTGTATCCCAGCCCCACTTGCTCATATAGATGCAAGGGACAGGCAAGCTTCAAAGGGTGCTCGGTGCAGACCTCTGTGTCCTGTGGTCTCCAAAGCTGCCCCTCATCCTGGTACCCAACGGAGCAGCCAAACATCCAGGTCTGTCCTTCTGCCTTCTCCAAACTCCAAGAGTTATCAGAGCTGAGAAGAAAATCCTGCGAGAAGCCGAGCCCATGTAGGGCACTTCCACTCTGTGCTGGAAGCTCACAGTGACCCCATGCTTGTTCAGAATGATTCAGAGCTGGGAGGGGTGAAGGTTTGAAGGGAGTCTTCCTCTGCCCAGTCCTGCTTGCTCATCCCCAGTGAATGTGCTGATGGCTCCCAGTACTGGAGCCAGTTTCTCCAGCAGACTGCCACAATAGCCAGCCCTCGCTCTGCTTACAGATGCCCTCCACACCATTCATGCTCAGCTAGCTGAGCAGTTTTGTACCTACATAATGCCCACAGTCCCCGTGTGCCACTGTGCTAAGAGCCACGCTGGTCTCAGGGCCTCTCAGGTCAAAGAATCCAGTGACCACAATTTAACGCAGAAGATAAAAGCCAACGAAGCTGCTCCAGGACTCAACAAGTTTGGAAATGTTTGCTCTATGCTCCGGTCTCTGTATCCTCGAGTCCTCAAATAGCAGCACTGAAGGGTGGTGTCTGGCCTGAATAAATGTGGAACCTGCCCACAGGACACCTAAAAAAAGACACGGGAAGAGGCAAGGCTAAGAAAACACGGGCTGGTTCCCAGGGAGGACGAGGAGTGTCTCTCCGTGGTGCGTTCATCCCGCAGGGAGGGTGGACATACCTGCACAGATGTACAGAAATGGAATCAGCCCCCAATCAGGTCCCAGCCTGTCTTGTGGATATAAAAGAAAAGCCCCAGGGTGAGATCTGAAGCTCCTCCGGAGAACAATGGAGACACCTCCTCCCTCACCCGCCACCTGGGAAGGGGCTGGCAATGCTGCCCAGGCACTGGCTTCATTCTCATAACTGAGTGCCTACACTTCACTGAGGACCCCGCTTCAAAGGGAATCCTCCCAGCCCTTTGCACTGGGGAGGAAGATGGCAGCATAGTGGTAGAAATTGTGGCAGGGTTCACGGGAGCACCTCTGGGCTGTGATGGGGAAGAGAGCTACCTGCCAGAAGGGAGCACAGCACTGCAGGGCAACCTGAGCATAGGGCACTGGATTTTAGAGGAATGGGTAGGAGGGGCTCCCACATCCCCGGGGGGGGCAAGGAGGTGGCTAAGCATCCCAGCCCCCAAACCCACATGCAGCTGGAGGGGAGACGGCATGTTTTGCACCGCTCTCTCAATCCAAATGTCCCTGCAGGACATCCTCCCCAAGCACAATCAAGCTGGTTCTGTAAGAGCGAAGCCCTGTGTGCCCCAGCCCCAGCTCGGGTCAGGAGCGGCATATTTGCTGAAACAAAAAGCAAACGCCTCTAATTGCATTGCAGGGAAAAACACAGTAATGTGTAAAGCAGACGCACACTTGGAAAAATAAATATCCAAGTGCAATTAATGGCGCAGCCATTTAACCCTTCCAGGCAACGTGATGTGTTGTGCCTGGAGGAGCGGCCCAAGGACTCGGCAGCTTCAGCGACCTGGAGAGGATTGAAAGCTGTGTATTCTGGAGGAGGAAATTAAAAGCTCTCACTTAAGCGGCCTCTCGACGTCCGGAGTTTGCTCTGTGCACCACATCTGATAGCTGACAGCCTTCCCTGCCTGGGGAGGGATGTGAAAGTGTGGAAAGGGTCACAGTCCTGGAGGCCACTAACACTTAACAAGTCCCCCCGAGGTGTGCATTTATTCCAAACAGGGTGGACAAAAGAGGGCAGCCTAATTAACAGGGTGGAGGACAGGATCAGTCCTGCCCCCTCATCGTGCTCAGAGGGCCCCGGATTCCAGTTCTGCCGCCAGCTGAGATGAGATGAAGCTATGGGCTGTAACGTCCCCAAAATGGGCATAATCCTATTTGGCGGCTGGATAAGAACTCGCTGGCTTTTCCTGCACTGAGCTGAGAGGTGCGAGAGAAGGGGAGAGGACAGGCGCGCGTCATTTCAGCAAGCGTGGCTGACCGGCAACGGGGACAAACATGCACCAAAGAGAGGGCGAAGACCTCCGAGGCCTGGCTGTGGTGGAGGAAGCTCAGCTGCCAAGGACTAGTGCATTTGTGAGCTGATCAAAACCAAACGGCCATTTCCAGGGGGGCTGGAGGCGCCAGAGCAGCCAGCACTTGCGTTGCGAATGCAACAGGCCAGCACGGCAGGCAAAGCGAGTTGTAGTTCCCCTGTTTTTCAACTCAGCACACAGCTAGGGAGAACAATAAAGTTGCCTGCCTGCGATCCTGGAAGCAGCTCGGGCTTCCCTTCCAGCCTGCGCACCTCCCGGTAAAGTGGAACGGAAGTCACTAGGCAGCCAGCGTTCAATGCTGACAGATTTGTGGGTCCCGAGGAAAACGGCTGCTAGTCCGGAGCTGGAGGAGAGCCTTGCTGCTTCCTTGACCGTTCCAGGGCAGGGACTGTCTTGATTTATTTTAATCCTCTCCGAACAAGACAATGGAAAGGCACCGGTGCGTGCCAGCCACCCCGGAGATTAAGAGGGGAAGTGCTTCTGTGTGGGGAAAAATGGCTGTCAGCCCCAGCAAAAAGCAAGGGCCCTCTCTGCTGATCTCTCAAGACTTGGCAGGACCCCGTCTCCTGCACACAAGCACACACACACACCTCTGTTTGCACACTGCCTTGGTGGGAGCTGAGGGGAGATGGAGCAGCAAGGCTTGTTCAAGTCTGAGAGCGAATTTGGCTTCCCCCATGTTGGGGACGCTGGGAAAAGAAACCCTTCGCAGCATACACACTGTATCAGCCAAGGCGGGTAAAACACATCTTAAAGTTCAAACGTTCACCAAAAGGAAATGGTACGTTCAACCAGAACAGCTGCCCCTGCCCCCTGTCCATTCACAGCACATCAGTTAGTTATTCACCGCCTCCAAACACGGCACAGGAGCAATAACAGGCAGCCTCAATCGCTAACAGCAGGAACTGAATAGGTTAAAAGCAACTACGCGACTCAAGGTTTGGTTGGAAGTGGTACAGTGGTTCCTCATCCCCACTGGGGTGGTTCACGCAACGAACCAGCACAGGAGAATTGCAAATCTCGCCTCTGAAAATAACAGCTGACTGATGCACTGGGTGGGTTAGATCCCTATACCACGTCCAGCCAAGGGAACGGCTCGCCAGCCCGGAGCGAGCATTCACCACTCCCGAACAAGAGGGAATCTCCAACGAAAACCGCAAACGGTTCTGAATAGAGAATGACAGACCCTCACCATCTGGCGGGGGGCCATTTGGGAAGGGAACAGTCCCAGTTGGTTGTAAAGAGAAAAGTCAAGAAGCGCAAGTCAGCTCTCTCTCCAAATCGCACTGTTTTAAAGAGTGGTAAACATCAGGTTCCTATTTGCTGCTGATTTTTGAGCCTGTAGGGCTTGCGTTTGCTACCTCCCTCTGCCATGTAAGGGCCAGAAGTGTACTTTAAACAAACAAAATGAGGAGCCAGTATAATCCCAGGACTCCGAGACCTGGGACTTGAAGAAAAACACCCCGGTTCCCTTAACAACTGTGACAAAATCCTGAGAAGGCCACCTGGCACCCAACAGTGATTTTCAGAAATGCCCAACACCCCAGGCCCTTGCCGCAGAGGCAGCTGGGCTCGGTCTCCGCAGGCCAGGCCGGGAATCCGGTACCATCACAGCTACCCCGCGGTCGCACGCCGCGCTCAGAGTCCAAAGCTCACTTTGCACCGGTTCATCTTCACCGGGGCCCTGCACCAGCGCAAAAATCCTGCTACGTCTCTTGCTGGGTCCAAGTGCCGGCAGGAAGGGCTCCCAGCAGTTTTGCTCTTTTGAGGATGCCATGCAGATGTGGCCCAGGTGGAGAGGGCAGGAGAACGGCCCCTAAACCCAGGCGCATCCCCTCCCCGCCGCCTGACACCGGTGTTCCTGGAAAGCAACCAAGTGCCTCTGACAGCAGACAGATCCCCCCAAGCACCTCGCGCCCAGCCGGGAACCCGCAGGCCCCTTCACCGAGCCCGCGGGGGAGCACCTCCGCACGGGCCCCAAGGCAGGGATCTGCTCACCCACGAGCGGGAGCGAGGGAGGCCGGGTGTGGGGAACAAAGCGGGGCCGGGAGCTCGGCTCCCTCTGCCAGCCCGACCCGGGCCAAGCCGCCTCCGCGCGGCCGGGGAGCAGCACCTCGGACGGGGCCGGCCCGGAGCCCGCGGCCCCGATCCGGCGGCTCGGCGCACGTG